GAAAATATGAACACACGCAGGCAGATACATTTTATGTATATGTATACATATGTAGCTACATACATAAGCTGTCTATGTGGCCTATATAATTTGGATATATGTAGATTTTATTTATTTATGTAATTAATTTATTGCAGTATAGTAGTCATATACAATATGCAATACTATATTGCAAATATATTCAATATATATAAAAGTACAAAAATATTTTTCTATATACATGTATATATAATCTATAATCTGTATTAACTCTTTAATTAATGACATAAATACATATGTTTATATTTATATCTGCAGCCTGTTTGTACCTATTTATATGTAGAAACCTCATTTAGATTCCATAGTGAGATATTATGTGAATTATTGTGTTGAATGTTAATGAAACATAACCTTCAAAACCTTCAGCACTCAAAGAGGTTTTATACTAAAATGTCTACAGTGGATGACCTGATAGTGAAATGCCTAATCAATTCATATATAAATAGTCTAAACAATACTGATACAAAATTTACCATCTGATAAATGAAGAAATTAAATAAATATTTATAGATGTATTCCTTTTCAATAGCATAGTGTATTCCCAACTATCAGATTAACAAGAGAGGAGTAATAAACTATTGTATTGCAGAAAAGTAAGGGTGGAAGGCAGAAAAATAAAAGATCAAAAAAATAGTGGAACTGGAGAAAGAGTGTTCTGGAGTTGAGACTGCAACTATTTGAAAAATATTTAGAGAAACTTGTGTGAGGTAGGGATCAAACTTTCTTACTTCAGAGGATTTGAGATGAGGATATGTTAATCAATTTTAATGAATATTTGCTAGAAAACTATGGTGTTGAGCACACGACAAGAATACAGAGCATTCTATGAACCAGGTCATCTACACCACTGCACTCATTTTTCTGACACAAAATTCAATGGCCTCATCCCCTTTGTGTCAGCTGAGAACTGAAAAATACCCAACTCAATAGAAAATCCAGTCCCTCCTAAATCTAGAGTAAGTTACATTGGAATGAAGCTATCTAAATATTTACAGAAAGTTCCACATGTTCACAAATAACCCCTGAATTCAGTGAGTCAGACCTTGTCATTTCTTCCCATTGGGTTCACCTGCATTTACAATATGAGGGCAGAGGTCTATTTGTGTGCATTCACTGTCTATAATTTCAGCAAGAATCCTGAATCATGGACGTTCTTGGATACAGTAAAACACAAGTTTCTGCAGCTGGGACCCAGGCTCTGGGAGTGCTGCATCAGTTCCTCTGCAGCAGCTGCATTATCATGAAACATCAGGATAATGGAATAGAAAAAGAGAAAACAGCCTAACTTATAAAGTAGAAGTGTTACAATTTCAGTTCAGGGCGTTGTGCTCTAAGATCTATACTAATAGGTCTTTGATAGGCAAACAGAAGCAGGGTTCATGTTTCCCTTGAAAGGCTGTATTTCTGAATGATGAATGAGTGGATCTAAGTCTAGTTTATTAAAATATCTCTAGGTGATAGACATTCACACAGTGCTGTATTGTTTTGCATTAATTTATCAAAGATGAACCTAGGATTCAAATTAAGGAAGGCATAATGGTTCAGACATTATTCACATTCACAGATCTGAGGATACAGAGAAGCCCTCACGTCAGATATCCCAAAGCCTCATTTAGAGAGGGCTGACTGAATTTTTACTATCTCTGATTTCTGACACAACAGATGAACCTTAGCAATAAAACTAGCACTGCCTCAAGACTGCATTGTGAGCTTGCCCTGCTCCTGTATCACTTCAGAAACATTTCTCTGAATGCCATAGCAACCCCACAAGTGTCACTGCTGATGTTCAGAGGGTTCAGATGACAGTGAACCACCTCGAACACAGATCTGGGTGTTATTCTGTGCCATTCTCACCCACACTCAGTAATGCAGTGTCCTGGGAGTGGACCAACTCAGTCAATATTCAGTCAGAGGGTGAATTATTCATTAGAAGAGCCCTTGGTGAGCAGTGTAAGAAACATCCCACTGTAATAGTTTTTCCATGCATTTCCCAGTTTGACAAAACATTTTTTTTTTCTCAAGAAAGAAGAAAATCCAGAAAGTGGACTGTTTTTTTTTTTCTTAAAGATTTTTTCCTTTTTTTTCCTAAATCAGGTCTGAAATTTTTAAGGCTGGAAATACCTTGAGGTAATGCATGATTGATGTGTGAAGCAGAGAATATGAATAAAGAAACACCAATGGTTATGAAAAAAAACTCCAAGAGGCAAAGAATGGTTTCCATTCAGTGTGATAAGCCAAGCACAAAGTTTGATTCATTACAAATGTTTAATTGGAAGTAAATATGACTGTCAACAGAAGACCAGGAACGTGCATGTAAGAGTGTTATGGTATTTGCAAGCACGTCAGATTACAGATTGCAATGAGAAAGGGATTTTAATTTTTGTAGTACAAAAAGCTAACACAGCCCACTCCTTCAGAATAGAAAACTCCACTTTATGAATGAACCCTTTATCCCAAGGGAGAAGCATGTAGGAAAAATTAAGAATATTTGTAGAAACACATGCTTGTTCCAAAAATGCCATATCAGTGGTAGGGTGGGTTTTGTAAAACCTAACTGAATGTGAACAATGATTGCATTTGGAAAATATAACCTGTGAAACAACAAGTAAATTACATGGAAAAAGGTTTAATCTGTTTTGACTTTGTTTGGGTTTTTTTAACAACAATAAAAACCAAAGGGGAAACAAGCTTGTTAAGAAAAATGTAACTGCAGGCAGATTTTTGCTCTGTTGAAGAGTTTATTATCAATTTCCAATACTCAGTTTAGTTTTAATGAATCTTTATCTAGAAATAATGAGACATTCTAGGTGTCCAGGACCCTAGGACTCTACTCCCTTTTAAACTGGTAGTGTTTGGAGATGCTTTGAACCAAGAACTCTGAAATTGTGAAGCTTGCTTGACCCAGAGAACTCAGGGGCTCCTCACATGTATGCAACATGCACACCTTGATGTTTTAGGTAGAGTGGGCATCAAACATAACTGTGGCCTTTAGACCTCTAAGGGGAGAAGATTATTTTTAAATAATCACATTCTCAGTGATTGTGAAGGTGCTCCTGATGTTACACATGCATTTTGATTAATAAAAATGCAGTTCCTTGCACTTGTGGAGGTTAAATATGCAGATTCATTTTTACCTCTGGGGTTTTGCTAATGTCCTATAGGTGACACCATACAGACTTAGGACCAGAAAAAGTATTATGTGAAACCTCACGAGGTTACTATTATACTTTATTGCCAAGGACACCAGGGAACAAAATGTCTTCAGTTTCAATAATATACCTAGAAACTTAGGATTTTACAATGTCAGGCATTTATAAGGAAAATTTTACTTTAATATATGCATTTATTTTATTTTATTTTAGTATATTTTATTTTAGTATATTTCATTTTATTTTATTTTAGTTTATTATTTGATATTATTTTATTTTATTGCTTTGTTTATTTTTGATTTTTTTTTTATTGTTCGTCACTATAGGGAGGAGACCTGCACACACATTTATGTGGATGTGTGTGTGTATATATATATATATATATATATATATATATATATATATATATACAGGGATAGTCTGCATTTCTGTGTATTGGGATGTGGTAGGAGTTCCCATATGCACCATATGCTGAATTTCTCCATCTTCTCCAAGTACATACAACTTTGAACAAAAGTTGCTTTTTACTCTATTACTGCCTCCATTTGAATCAGAAACAGAATTTAAGGGGAATATGATGTATTTTAATCACATTTTGATTATTATGAATTACAGGAGCTTCCATCCATGTTTGGGGAAGCATGAGTAAAATGAGGTTGCTTTTCTTATCTCTAAAAGGATTGTTAGTACAGCCACCTTCCTATGTAATGTTTTTCTGAAGAGCAGCCTGGCTTATTCACAAAGATAGAAAACCTAGAAAAATAAATTAAGATTTAGATTTTACCCTTTTGCTCAATTTGAAAAACTTGATGCCAGCTGAATTTATATTTGATATTCACATTACATTCAAGGTGGAAAGAAATAGGAGCCACAGCATCAATAACACAAAGCTAATGTATATGTCAGCTTCAATATTATACCTGTATTATTGGAATTCTTGGTTCAATAAAATCTCTATGTTTAACCACGGTGTAAGCCTTAATATGAAATCTAACTTTTCACAAAATATTTGAAGACTGATACATCATTTATCTTAATCACCTAGACGGGCTCTGGCCATAGATTGGAATTAGGCCTTTTGAAGCAAGGAGGGGTTCCTCTAGAGATGTCATTTTTTGTTAAAAGTGATTCCACTGTTTGTGTCCCTGATCCCTGCACTGGCATAAAGACCTGCTTGACATGGAAGAGGAGTTTCCCCAGAGACTGTGTCCTGTATTCCTCCTCCTTTAAAACTTACAGATGGTTATGCTCCTAATGTTAGAGATCACTGGTGCTCAAGAAGAAAAAAAAGCTAGTAACACAGTAATTTCCCTACCACAGTCACTGGAGAAAATGTAGAGATATAGGTATTTAAAATTCTGCTATCCCTTGCTACAAATGGATATATGCTTTTTCATCAAGGATTTCTTTTGCAAATGTCTATCCTTACTCAGTGTGAATTTTTTAGGGTGTGTACTTCAGGCATTTGGGACAGAAATTTTCCATCCTTCCTTCCTTCCTTCCTTCCTTCCTTCCTTCCTTCCTTCCTTCCTTCCTTCCTTCCTTCCTTCCTTCCTTCCTTCCTTCCTTCCTTCCTTCCTTCCTTCCTTCCTTCCTTCCTTCCTTCCTTCCTTCCTTCCTTCCTTCCTTCCTTCCTTCCTTCCTTCCTTCCTTCCTTCCTTCCTCCCTTCCTCCCTTCCTCCCTTCCTCCCTTCCTCCCTTCCTCCCTTCCTCCCTTCCTCCCTTCCTCCCTCCCTCCCTCCCTCCCTCCCTCCCTTCCTCCCTTCCTTCCTTCCTTCCTCTCCATCTTTCACTCCAAAAAGGGATAAAATATTTTCTTGAGCAGCCTTAACATTTTCCCCAGGGAGGAGTTTTTTGGTTATTTGTTTTTTTTTAGTTAAAACCATTACAGGGAGGTACTATGACTCTGACACCAATAAACCTCCAGTCTGGGTGCATATGTTGGCTCAGAGATTTCACTTTTACTGTCGAGGTTATAAAGGTTAACTCAGAATATTTTCCAGATTTGTGTCAGATGGACTGATGGTACAGGCAGTGGGTACAGGATGTGCAGGAATTCAGTAATTTGAAGGGGGTTACATGTTCTGTTGAATTCTGAGATTTTACTGGGTTGCAGGTCATAGATCTCTCTTCCTGCCAACAACTTTGACACAATTAAGAGGTCTTTAAAGGAAAAAAGCCTTGTTTATTTTGGGGTTTTTATGGATGTTTGGGGAGGAAATCACATACCAGTTGCCAAAAGTACAAACTCACAAGTAGCCCGTTTCCTTTTTGGACTTCTTTTTGCAGTCAAAGGCATTTTTAAATTTTATTTCCTGGTTACAACATGTCAAATAAGTTATAATACATGTGCACATGTTCATCTTGGTATAAAACAGAGACCACCAATAATAATTTGCTTGCTTTTTTCTTTCCAACTCTGGTTTATGTCCGTCCCTTTTGACACCATAATCCTTCCATAGCAATGTCACAAGCAGTTTAACTTTTCTTCTCTGTATTTTAATTGCTATAACCAGTTCAAATACTTCCTCATTTAAATGTATTTCCCTCTGTGCAAGCACAGGTATACATATCTACAGAAAATAGTTTTTCCAAATGTAACTCAAGTCACCAGAGTGAAATAGTAAATGTAAGTGTTGAAGTGGAAAAAAAGCCAGAGCCTTACTTTGTCACAGCAGATATAAAGCAGGATGGGAAGCACTGCATAGTAGCCTTTGCAATTTTTGGAATAAAATAATTATGAACTTTTCTTCATAAGTTTCTTCAGATTTATTTTAATATTATTGGGGTCCTGTTAGTGTTGACCAAGGAAATAACTGAGCAGATGAGCAGCTTCAGTGTTTATTCTTATTTCTGTTTACCTCTGAGGTACGAAATTATGTTAATTCTGTGGGTGGGGAATTGTTGCAATTTAGAAGGCATTTCTCATATGTGAACTTAATTAAATTGCATGATGGCAGGAAACATCCCATGTTAAAATGGGCATCAATATTCCATTACAACACCAGGTTTCTCAGTAATGATTCCAGTGCAGTGTCTGCATCTAGAAAGATTTAATAACAAACACTTTATTTTTGAAATATGAAGGTGCAATTCCTACTGATGATGGCTCAGTTCAGCCCCAGGCTTCAGTTACTCCAAAAAAGGTTTTGTTCTGATATATCCTAATGCTGGACAAATGCTTTTATTTTGGGGTTAAAAAAAAATAAAAAAGGTGTGGCTTAGTTTAACTCTTGCAGAGGCTGCCTCACTTATCTGACTATAAGCAGCATTACCCTATCTTTTATAAAAAGTACTCAAAGGTTGTCAGTGTTCTTCATGTAAATAAATTTGTGAATTAATTAGGGGGAGTCCATGGATTTCCAGCTCTCCAAACTCTAATATAAATGTGAACTTCTATATCCAGACATAAAAATTCTGTCCAAAAGGGGAGATGAAAGTCTGTTCTGATAATCACCATGGGACTCTGTAACCACCAATTGACATTTCTGCATATTTATTTGCAGTAAACAACTGCTATTGTTGGCCTGTTTTGTGTCCCAGCATTACAAAAATTAGTTTCTCATTGCTGCTGCTTTTTTGGCTTTTTTTTTAGTATTGTTTTTTTTTGTTTTTCAAATTGGTAATTAGGAACACCAAGAATAGAACTGAAACAGTCATCTGTCTTGACAAAAAAAATTCTTAAACTACTGCTAGTGGACATCATCATTCAACATGGTGACTTTATTAATTTTTTGTTACACTTATCTGTCATTTTGCAGGTAGCAGGCTGCTTTTTATAAATGTTTTAATTTTCCTAATTATTCAAGTGTCAATTTTCCTAATTATTCAAGTAGCAAATGGGCTCATGATTCTGCCATTCAGCAATGCCCTTCTCATATTTGACAACTGTACTGCAGTTTGTATTTTCTATCACATTTAGACAAAAAATGTATTTCAGCCAGTAAATTATTCAAATCCCATGGAGAATAATGACTGCTTTAAATTCTGGGCTCTGGATCACATTAAACAAGTATATTAGCTCTAAATTCTAGTAAATATGAAAAGAACAATCAGTTTTTTTGCTGCCTTAGAGACTTAACTTTTGTTTCACTCTTCTAAATGAGAAAAGAGTAGGGAAAGAGTGAAAAAAATAAAGGAAAGACCTTCTTGTATGCATAAGTGTTTGTTAAGTGTTGACATACAAAGACTTCTGTTGGCAAGCTGAAATATTTACACATAAACAGCTCTTATGTGAATGTTTATTGTAAAAAAAAAAAAGAAAAAAAAAAAAAAGGCACCTTCTCCAAAGTGCATGGAAAAACAAAGGGGCTCTGGATTTAACAATCATATTTGTGAATACATCATTCTACTTACCACCCAGTAGTAACCGAGAGTGAGATAAATCTTTGTTAATTATACCTGCTATGGAATAAAGCTGGAGAGAAATCTTCCAGATTGCCACATAACACTGAAAAAAAAGAGGAAAAATAAATACAAACTAATTTTTTTCTTTTCTTTTTTTTTTTTTTTTTTTCTTTTTTGTGGGCGAGAGAGCGAACAAAGAAATTTTAGCAGGTTCTTTTAATATTTTTATTATAAATAAAAGACCAACTACCAGCTACTGAATTACTCATGGAAATTTCATTTCTTAATTTTTCTGAAGATTATGGTCATGGCTTTCAGAGTCATACAGCTCCACGTTATGTTTCAAGCTATTATTATGACTGAGGAAAATTGCACCACTTTCTTGGAAAAAAACATTAGAGACTTGGATATGGTTCTTAATTGTGGAACTTCACCCTACACTGAGGACTTGCAGAAACCAGAGGGGCACAGCTGGGACACATGCTGACTCTTCAGCTGAGTTTGTTTTTATTTAGGGCTACACAAGGTAGAAAAAACTCTGCATATTATTTAATGTACATACAGTCCCTAATGTGTGGTTATAAAACTCTGATACTCTTAGAAAATAATTGCTAGAATCTCCTCAAATAATTTTTCTTATGAAAAACAGTAAAATTCGTAGCCTCGGGTCAAAATTTAATTGCAAAAGCTGTAAAATGTCACCTAAACCCAACTGAACATTTTAAAGGGCTTTCTAAAGACAATCTGACAAGCAAGAACCAGAAAATTAATAAATTGATTTTAGAACTATACTGAAAGCATAACATAATGTGCAGTAGGTATCACCAGGTGGCACTGTTCCAAATATATTTATTTACCTTGTGACTTGATAACAAGTGGGTGACTATGATAACAATCCTGTTGTTTTAAGGGGGATTTCCCCCCCTCCTTATGATTTGCTCAGTGTTTTTCTTTACTTTACTTGGTTTGTGCCTTGGAGGTGATACTATCAGAGAAGGCTAGTGTGTGTTTGTATGTACCCACCTGTGTGATTTTCTGCCTCAATATCAATTTTTCCTTACACGATGTGCTGCAGTACTGGGATATTGGGAGGAAAACAACAGCAAGAAATCCAACACAATTTTACAGGTTTAGTTTACAGATATATTCTTACATTTATTTATAGATTTTTTTTTTCTGTTTATGACAATCCTGTTAATGACAGAGCAAGGAAATTTCAGCACGGTGTAGCATCAGTCGATGTAGATTTGCTCCACCAGATCATCCCTAATCTAAAGCAGGTTAATTTCCAGGAGGTGCTTATGTCTGCTTTAGGCATTAGAGACATGGTTATCCTTTCAGGTGTGGCCTGTAGGCAAGCAGGATTAGCTTTTAACACTGAAATGGTCTCTCAAGATGCATTTAGGTATAATCCCCAGCAAGCATGCTAAGTGCCTCCTGTCTGGGAGCAGCTCAAGGGCTGCCTGCTTGGCCCAGGAGCCTTTTTACTACCCTGAAATGGAGTTTTGCTTTAGACTTTGTATTAATGATATTGATTCCCACATTCCAGAGAAACAGGTCACTGAGGGAGCGAGCACAGGCAGGTCAGAGAACAGCTCTGTTTTGTTTTTACTAGTGCAGTAATTAAATTAATGCAAGAAAAGAATGGAGCAGGTAACAAGGGCAGGGAAAAAGTACAGAGTGACAGGAGCAACAAGTTGCCTCCCCTTCCACACACCCTCACTGCACTGCAAATAACTGAAAGGAGAAGTACAAAATCCCAAGGAGCATATAAACCATAAAAATAGACATTTGTGCTGAACTCAGTAGGTCAGGAGATAGTGGGATTTAGATCACGCTATCAACCAAACAAACTGAAAATACTCCCAGCCCAGAGAAGGCTTTAGGAATGTTTTGGAAATATGGTCATCCATGAAAATATAAAAACACAAACAAACAAGCCCAAAATGCTGAATGGTATCAGTTTGGTCTCACCAGCACCAAGAAGAACAACAGATGAGAAAAACATGCCACAAAATTGAGGCCAAAGGCATGAAATGGAGAGTCAGGAAATACTGAGAGTGATGAAACTCAGTGTCACAAATAAATCCTAGAGGTAAAGGTGTTTGAGGGAGGCCAATATAGGAGTACAGAAAGAGATAATCTGCAGAGCTGCAGTGTCACACAGGCAGGGTTTGGTGCAGTCCTGCATTGAGAAATCAGCCATGGTTCCCACACCAACCATCCCAAAAAAACAACTTAGGATGGAGCAGAAACCCACCCACACCTCACACTGGGATAGTGATGCTTCCACCAGCCTGTGCAAATTTTCTGTCACGTGGAGAGTAGATGTAGGTGCTGCTCTTGCTTTTCAAAACAACAAATTTACTCTAGGAAAAATTTTAAATGGTCAAACCAAACCACAATTCCCTAGCCAAACTCTTCTTGTGGGTGTAATGTAGGAAATTGGGATAACCTCTGCAGCAGCTGTGGAATCTGCTGGGAGGGCTCCAGCTAAGCACAGCCCCTGAGGCTCATCTTTCAAAAGGGACACACTATCCCAGTCCAGACAAATGGCATGAGTTGTGTGTGCTGTGATGCTGTTAAGGGAAACACTGAGAAATTGCCTTAAGATGGAGAAAAGCTGGCCCTTGACTGATTTCCAGGGCAGTCCCATGGCCAGTGTAACTCAAACACAGCCAAAGATTTAGTGCAAAGCAGATACAGCAATGCCTGAAGCACTGCTGAATACTGATCACAAACACCCTGAAGTCTCCAAGGAGTCAGCAGAATCCCCTAAGATGTACACAGATATATTATCTGCATTCATTGCTCATCCCTGTCGTGCACAGCTGTAAAGTTTACAGTTGTGGTGACAGAAAGCAGCAAAGGAAACATTGGAATGTCAGGCAAAGCAAATGCAGTAACTCTGTGGGCTCACAGCATGGCAGCAAACAGCCAAAAAGAGAAATGGTGGAATTTGGATGTATCCAAATGGCAGTAAATGCAGAAAGGCTGAGCTGTGAGAGCAAATGGGCAAAACCAACTGCTCTGCTGCAAGTAACCCCAGCAAAGGATGGTTGCTGACACGTCTGATCAGATGAAGAAATATTGACTTTGAACTTCTGGCTCACCCTGGGGCAGGAACAAGTTTCATGGCCCACCTTTTGGAATAAGATCAGCTAGCAAAGTGTTACAGCCAAAGGAACAAAGGCTGCTTGGACACCTTACAGCCATCCAGAAAATAACTGATGACACAGTAATAACAGCATCAATTCCAGAGAGACACTTGCCAGTGCTGAGGTAAGAAAGGAATTAATTTCACACTGAAAGATCACAATTTAAGCAAATTGTGTATGTGATGATTTCGATTCTTCCTCTGCATTGTGTGACCTGCATTTAGCCACAGTTTTAAAGAAGGGGCAGGTGTCTCCAGATCTTCTTCCTCCTACAACTCCTCCATGAGATTTTTACATGGAAACATGCCTTATTGAGAGTTATTTAGGCATTTAACACAGAAACAAGTAAGCAATGAGGATATATCATCCAGAAAGCAAAAGTTCTTGCCAGTTTTCTCAGAGATGCTGCTTGGGAGGTGGTTTTCTTGTAGGCTTTTGAAAGAAGAAAGGCAATATTATACTGGTCCAGACTCCTATGCAAAAATTGCCACATATTGTTGCCAGTGCACTGATAAGTCTCTCAAAAGCAGCACAATGTGTCTTATATTTTGTAATTCAAAAGATTTTGCTTTTCTTCTCAGTTTCTAAGGTGGTTTATATGGTTTAAACTTTACATTCTTGCCCATTCCAAGCTCCTTTCCATCCCCCATCCAACTGGACCATTAACATTCCCCATGATACGACAACCACAGCTTCTCTGGGCAACTTGTTTAATTGTTTCACCCCTCTCATAGAAAACCATTTCGTCTTCATGCCAAATCTAAACCCACCCTCTTTCAGTTTAAAACCATTTTCCTTTGACCTAGCATTGGAAACCCTGGTGAAATATCTCTGCTTTTCTTAGAAAGGATATGTGTTATATGGAGGGTCTTTTTTTAAAAAAATACACTTTTTCCTAGTTAAGGCTACAATTCTGTATTGGTGAATGTCTTCAGCATGAAGAAACAAAGGAACAGATGTTCCTGTCTCAGGCAAAGGCACTGTGAGGGCCCCAGGAACTTCTTTACACTGCTGTGCCTCTTCCTGTCCCCACAGGATTTTGCAATTAGTTCATTCCCCAATCTTGTTTCATGGCCCTTCTCATCACCTGCTGGTATTGTGACATTTAAGAAGCAGTTAAGAAGACATGACAAAACTAAACCAAAACAAACTAAAACAAACAAACAAAACCCAAAACAAAACAAAAACAACAACCAAAAAAAAACCCCAAAAAAAACCCCAAAAAAACCCAAAAAAAGCCAGAATATTTTACCTGTGCCTTCATTTGTTCACCAGGGGAAGTTGCCTGGGGAAATGACAGGGAGTCCTGGCTCCTGAGCCAGATGTCACAAACATTTAAACAGCTGCCAGAGCCTTCCCAACCTGTCATCAGGCCTGACCTTAAACCCAGCTTCATTTTTAAATGTTAGAGGGGAAAAAAGGTGGAAAAAAAACTTAAAAAGCCCCAACAGGGTAAAGTTACACAGCTGCCTGAAATATTAAATTAAAAGACTGAACATCTGTTCACTTGCTTTTCAGAATTTAATGGTTTGGAGAGATATTCTGTTGTCTTAGATCCTTAAGAACATCTGAGACCCACGCAGCTTCAACACCTGTGAAAAATCCTCCCTCAAAACACATAGACCCTTCAAAGCTTATTGCTCCTGCTCTTTGCCAAACATATGTTGCCCAGCAGCACAACAAATTATTAATAATATTTAGGTCATACTTGACTTTTGCACAGTGAATTTCCTGAGCGAGTCCCAAAATACAGTTTGAGCATCAACAAGCTTTTATTGCATGGAGTCAGAAATGACCACGGAATGGAACAAAGAAACTCCTGGAGAACTGGCTACTAGAAAATAAAATAAATATTAGATTGATGTGGGTTCAGTTTTCATTCCTTTTGGATTTTGGAGGGTTTTTTAGCTACACTTTCCTCTTAATTGAAAAATTTAAACTAATTATTGTTTGCCAGGATCAAGAATAGTGTATAATGAACTTGTTAGCTCCCTGCCACAGGATGCTATCGACACAGTTAAGGGAATTATGAGTGGCTATGGGAGGGAAGAATTAGGGGTTTGGATAAATAAGTATAGCCTCTGCAGTAAAAATGAATTGTTTATGGGCAGCCAAGCCCTCTGTTAGAAAAAACAGGATGTAAAACAGAGAGTAGAAAATCTGTACTCTAAACATCACTGTAATTTTGGAGCTAGATGCTTGGGCTGTGCTTTTGGGACCAAACTTAAAGCACAAAGATACACTTGGCATTCTTTTGCAATACCAGACTTCAAGAGAAGGCAGAAAGGGAAAAGAAAAAAAACCTGGTCAGCAAGATTTCTGTTTATATTTCTGTTTTCTAATGTGTTTCCACTGGAAGCATTTTTTATCGCTCCATGGGCTTTCCTTTGGTTCTCACAATTTACAGCCTTGGTGCTCTGAAATTTCAACTTCAGTTCCAACATCTGGAATATTAAGGTTTTGTTTAAAGATGAGCTGAATGTTGTTGATATTTCTTTCCCTGTGTAACTTTAAAAAGATTATGCCTAAAGATATGCTGGTTAGAAGTGAAGCTAGACTGGCTTTCTTGCCACTCATGCATTCCAATGTGGATTTAATGTTTTATAAGATGATGATTTAAATGAAGAAATGCACACCGTTAAAAGTAAACAGGTACAATTAATAATAATGGCAATGATAATAACAGTGTAAATAATTTAAATCTCTTCAAATTCTGTAAAAAATAAAATTCAATTTCTAAGGCCACCTAAAACTATTAATAAATCTTCATTAAAAATTCAAACCATAGAATCAAAGCAAAAGATTGGAGGAGTAAAAAGCTATTGCACTTTATAAAAGCCAATTCATCAGATCAGAGGGAAAGCATTTTCAAAACAAATGTAAACTGTGAAGAAAGTTCAGGGTTTGGGGACAAGAAGGTGTAAAAATGGAAGAAATTATATGAACAAAAGGCAGAGTAGAAAATGTGACACATTGCTAGGAATTCATTGTTTTCCACTGAAAGAAATAAGCTAATTTCTGGGGATTTATCCAAAGCAAGTAGCATCATCAGGTATTACTTAATGAAAGGAAAGCTAATTCGTGAATAGAAGATTCTGTCTCCTTGCATTATTTTTGAACTGTGGTATCTCTCATGCTCTCATACTGTCACACACACACACACACCATGTAAAGAATGCTCCTACAGAATGAAAATATTTTAAAACTCTCATTTTTTACTTTAAACTAATTCAAAACCAAAAAAATCAAAACATATGGCTTAATAATTGGCCATCAGGTGCACACTGTGAAAATAATCCACCAAAGATAAGAGGTAAATTGATTTAGGAAAACGCCCTTTAGGAAAATAACCCATTGTTGCCTGGAAGCCATGGCTTAGGTGCAGTAAATTTCAGATATTAAGAATATTTTGGCCTCACACATGAGTAGATACAGAGTGCCCTAATTCCAGATGTGGGCTGTATAATGGCCATTTGTTGAGCTGGGCAGTTTTAGATGACATTCCACATTTAACATTTTTGATGGAAGACCTGCGTGATACTCATTCCAGCCCTGGCACCCTCAAGTCATATTTCTTCCCTTGTCACAAAGTATTTCTTTCTATCAGCAGCTTGTCATTCAAGTATATTTTTAAAAAATGAAGAAATGGGCAGCAGCTATGTGAAATGTGAAGGTGTCTGTCATTGTAGTGCCACTATTTGATTGTTTTACATTCAAAACAAAACAAAACAAAACAAAACAAAACAAAAAACAACCTAACAAATATCTGTTCAAAGACTCCAGGCATCAGAAGGGAGAGAGAGGATGGAAGGCATAAGTGATATTGAATTTTTCACTTAATCTCACAAAATATCCTGTCAATAATCTGGCTCTCATCCCTAGCAGATACAACATATTTTGTAGTTGTCTTTCTCCCTGTCAGTGTTAGATTTGGCAGCTCTAAAAAAAATTTGGCAGAAATAGGTTGAAATGTGGTGGACAGGCTTAATGACAGAGGAGATCTTGAAGTTTGAAGGCTAAAATAATAAAGCTAAAGCCATGAAAAATTAATCCTCCTCTGATGTGTATAAACACTCGTGGAGGAAACAGAAGCTGCTATAGTAAAATAGCATTTGTTAACCATATTGTAGTAGAAACCCCTTTATATATGTGTGTGTATATATATATGTGTGTGTTTAAATATATATAATATAAATATCTATCTATATATGAGGGTAATAAAGTTGCCATTCTCCAGGAAAAATACCCATAATGATTCTCATCACTGATTCAGCATCTCAGTATCTATGTACTAAGTTACTGACAGATCCTTATGTCATGCCACTTGTTCCTTATCATGTTTGGAAGACAAAATTTCTCAAGTTTGAGAAATAAATTTTCTCAAGCTTGATCTTAAGATGAAAATTTATTTTCCAATGGGACCTGGGGAAAGTGAGAATTCAAGACAGGATAGTCCTGGGTAAATATATATTATTATATATATATATAAATATGTATAGATATCTTTCTGGTTTGCTGCTAAATATTCTTGAATGTAACCTAGATGTCTGCATTTCCTCCACAGAGAAACTCAAATTCATCCTACACCTAAAGGAAAACATTCACTTTGGCTCTCTCTGTAACATGTGCATCCTCACCTGTGTCCTCGTGCTGCAGGGATGTGGCTTGGGATTCTCCTGTGCTCAGGGATCCTCACGTTTCACTTCCATCTGCATGTCTGAAAGGAAAATTAGCAATGTGAGTCAGAACTCTGCCTTCAGTATCACAGAGGCATTTCATTGCATATTTCATGTACGGCATCTTCCTTTTCTGAAGCAAAAATTTTGTTTTACCAGCATCACACATTTCTTTTAACTGATGCTAAAGGCTTGTCTGGAGAGGAATGCATTCTCTACAAGTAATACATGTATTGCAAATATGTAGGGTTAGCAAGCACATACCAGAATGTGGTTTCATGATTTATTATGCATTGTAACTCCTGTTATATTCTATGAAAACAATAATCAATTAATTTTATCTGTTTAAGTATACTCTCTGCATAGTGTGGCTTTGTTGGGCACATTGATTATATGAAACCTTGTCATATATTACAAGTGATGATGTATTTTTTTTTTTTTTAAAGCTTTAATCTTCATTAGGGGGTGCTTGACTTGATCGATCACGTAGTGATCAAAGCCAAAACCTGCTGGTTTTAATCCCTGTGACAAACTGCTGCCCAGTTCTGCCAGCCAAATTTGGAAAATGCCACATTGCTAAATAGAGAGAGACCTGACAAGCACAGGAGCACTGAGCAGGAGTCTGTGAGCTGCTGCTGCGGTGCTGAGCTGTAGCTCCTGCCTTGCCTAGGAGCCTGAAAAACAGGAATGTCTCTTCCTTTTCCCACCTGAAAGCCCCAAATCTGAGGCTGGGCAAGCAGGCCCATGGTGCCCTTCAATGTGGAGACGAGGATGGGCTTCTGCTGCGGAAGGAGATGCAGAAATGCAGATTTCTCCTCCACCCAGAGCAAGGGCTGCCTTGGGTGCAAGCACTGGCGCACTTTCAGCCACCCCCAAATTGTCACACTCCATATAAAAGAGCTACAGAGGAGGGAAGTGGAACGAGGTAAAAATTCACTCCTCCTGCAGTTCTGAGTTTGACATGACAAATCCTGATAGCACTAACCTAGGGTGCCTGCCTACCCCAGTGCATTGCACAGGAGCTGCAGGTACCTCACTCAGTGGCACACAAAGGCAAAGAGTGCTGCTGGGCTTTTTTCCTCAGTGGTTGCATTGCCTGTTTCTAAAGCACCAAGTTGCAAGAACATCCCAATTAAGAAATTCACATCACACCCTCCCTTATAGTTATTTTCCCCCAAATTGCCTGTCCCATCTGGCATCCACCAAATATACCCTGCCTACATTTCCTCTCCACAGAAAACCCCAAAGCACCCCACAAGAGCCTGAGTGTAACAGGACTCCATTATTTGTTGAGCACAGCTCTCTGACAGTACAGCACAAGAGGTATTTACAGTGCTGTAAAACGCAGACAATTTGTTTAGTAAATCTGTTTCAGGAACGGTTACAGAATGTACTGCTTTTGCCACCACAGGTGACACATGGCTCCTATACATTTGACATTTTGGAGTGTGTTTTTATACATCCTAAAAGGTCTTTTTGTCATGAAATTGTCTAAAAACCTGTTCCCTTAGGAGACCTGAAAATGAACAGCCTCACTGTTCATGTGCATCGATTTGCTCACATAGAATATTGATCCTCATGAGGTTTTCTTGTTCTACATCATCCTAGAAGGGCTCAAAAATACATGCATGTGTGTGTAAACGTGATCTTTTCCCACCTTTCAAAGGAGGATTGCAAATTACTTTATTCCAGTTTATTCTGAAATGTAAACTTTTGTGCATGAATTTGTATATCCACTCTTTCCCAATGAATCATAAAGTTATAAGTGTTTCACAGCTACCATTCAGATTTTATTTGTGTCTTTCTGGAGCTATCAGGGGCAAGTAATGCACTGCAGTCTGAGCATGTCTAAATTTATACATGTGATTTTATACCTTTGTCTGAATAACATGGTAATCAACTCTATTTTGAGATGCAAACTTTGATCCTTATTGTTGCTAACAACCATATCCATACTAATGCACAGTATTCTTAACAAAGCATGTCATAGGGAATTTTGCAATTCAAATACAATTAAAAAAGCAATATAAAATAAACGTTTGCATTTGATTTAAAATATGAATGATTCAGCTCTCTAAATGGGCAAGCAAATTAAGGACCTTGGAAATCAAATGCCAAATTGTCTTGTCAGAGAGTAGGGCTTTCTGCAGCCTCCCAGAGTGTGCAATGAGGCTGAAGGTCAGCTTACAAACTTCAGGGCCACCCCATGACCCTCACAGCACCCAGCTGTTTCCTTCTGTGCCTCATTCTCAATCAAAACAGAGTTTTTGAGATCCTTCAGCTCCACCTTGAAGAAGACTCTATGGTCTTCTTACCCTAGCAGTAAAGGGATTTATCTGATGGCAGGAGATCACTTAATATCCTCTTCAAAAAATCACACATAAGAAGTATGGCACCAGCCTGAAGGAAAAGCTGTTAAAGACAAAAAGCCAATTTTTATTTGCAAACTGAATAAATTTATGCAGAAACTCCCTGGGAAGCAATCACTGAAACACATAACATCATAGTATTCTGAGAATCACCATTATTTGAAGTCTCATATTGCTTTGCCAGTGTTGCAAATGTTTTTCTTGCTTCCTTAATTCACACACACATAGAGAAATTCACTTTCCTTAAGCTTGTTAGTTGACCCTGCCCTTACAGAGAGTCTGTCTGATGTCTCTGCACTTTAGACATCTATTTTATTTCTTAAAATGAGCTCTGTTTTTTTTTTTAATGAAGACTTCAGAGTATTATACATATTTATATATATATATACATATTATAAAAAATTTAGAGCAAACTGTACAGCTCCATCCTAGCTGATAAATTATAAATTATGATACACTGTAACCCCTCCCAGTAGTACTCCAGGTATTATATATTGGTTTTGCATATAATCTCCTCTTGGGAAGCATGTTTTCCACTTGTGAGTTTAGTCCCTTCCTCCAGCAGAAGTTACACAAGATTGGAAGAATATGAGAAACATGGAAAAAAACAAAAACAAAAACAAAAAAACTGAAGAAAAGTTTTCATGCCAGAAGAAATGAATGGAACAAACATACTGGCAGGGGTTTGGCTTGTAGACTCACACAGAACTTTGGCAATGGAGCACTCCTAGGCATGAGGATGCCGTTTGACTAAAGAAAATGTGAAATGATGTTGGACATACCACAGGTTACCTGGTCCTGGGTTCATTTCATTAAAATACTTAGCTAACTTTTGTTCTGACCTCTAGTTTTTAAATTCAGTTTCCACCCTGGACTCATATGCTCATATCTGGTGTACCCAAACTTGTCCAGAAACAGAGTGAAATTCCCTCAGTGACAGCTAAGATGCTTCAGGCAAACGTGTGCTTAGTTGGTCCTGTCCTACATAAAAATATGCAATAAACATGCACTATTTAGTTTGATTATCCCATATTCTCTCTATTTCAGAGTGTAGAGGGAAGTAAGTCTCATGGAAATAAAAGAGACTTTCTTAGTTCATCAAGGGTAAAAGGAAAATGTAGTTCTCCAACATCTGTAAACTACTCTTGGCAATTTGTTGCTCTGCCATATTTTACCTTTAATTAAAATTATTAACATTTCCAGAATGATTTGGTTCCCAGATATTGTTGTGGTAAAGTCTATTATTTGGTAAACTTAGGTCTTTGGATGGGAGTGAGGGGGTCCCACATTTTTTATGTTTAAAACAGAACATCTACTATCTAGCGATTATACAGAAGATTTAAATTTGCTGCAATGTCAACTATGCCCATTCATGTTATGTCAACTACTCTGAATTTTTTATGCATGCTCTACATCATTTTTTAATAAAGTTCAATACCTAGAAATAATAATGAGTTTTCAGGGTGGTTTAGAGCTCTTAAGATGATCTGTGAGCAAAGAATTTGGACACCCAACAATGTGGGCCTGCTATTATGCAGTATTCACTGAGGGAAATGGTTTTTTTTTGGAATGATGGTAAAAATAGATTCTGTCTAGGTAATATAAAAAAAATATTGTAGAATAAAATGGATCATTTTCTTTCTTGTATGTCTCCTTTTTGGGAAGTAGACACACAACTGCTAGCTGAAATAGGTGAACTCACAAATTTCAGCATCTCAAGAGTTGGCATTTACTTAAAGAAGTCTAAATTTTTCCCATTACAATAAACATGAGCTGACACTTGTCAGTGTTCAATAAGATATTTCTTTTTTTTTTTTTTTTTTTTTTCCAGAATCCTTTTATATTTGTGTCTTTAACAAACTGCATGCCTGGGCAAGGTAACAAAAAAATAGAGATAGGAACTTAGTATCTCCTCTCCAGGGGGGTTGACACATTTTGAGCCTTACAAATGCAAATAATGCCAATTGCTAGTTGAGACTGGATTAGACCATGTTCTGCTTAAATTGATTCTAGCAGCAGTAGAATTTGTATGCTGGAAAAAAAAAATGGGGAAGGAGAGAAGAAAAACTGATATAATTTGGGCCAAATTGGCGATTGGGCAAAAGCTGATGTAGTGAGGTTAATGTCAAAAAAAGTCTCTGGAGAGGCACAAAAGGCAGATTAATAACTTGACTAAGATCAAAACAGATAGGAAATGTTGCCTGTCAGTGCTATGGGCTCTAGCACCAGTACTAATATATAACTTGAACCATTATTTAGTGTGGTACTGTCCCAAAGGTTCTTAGAAGATACATTTATACAGTGTAGTCATCACACCCATATTAAATCATGAGTGAAAATATATTTCAATTTATTTTTCACCTTCAGCTGTTTGAGCACAGACCATACAAGTATGATTTATAAATCTCTAGGCTGCTCTTTATATCACAAGGGTCAGACTAGTCCCTTGTTGACATAAATAATAGAGAGTTCAAAACCACCCCAATTTTTCTCTTTAACCCATTAGGCTATACCTTCTCTATCTCCTCTTCCATTTTATATGTATTAAGATGTTACAAATATAACATTAAAATTAATTCTCTCAGCATCATGAAAGGATTTTTCTCCACTTCCAAATTCAATGTATTAATTTATTGTCAATCATTAAAAGCTGAAAAACTGTTTTTTTTCAGAAATTTCCCTTCCCCCTACCCGCCACCAAACAAAAAATAAAGCATTTGCTTCTAGCAGTCTTAAATAATGTTTGATGCTCCAGAGAGCCTTCAACATTCATTACAGAGTCAAGCAGAGCTTCATTAAATATCAGTCTACAATGTGTATATGTGGTGCTGAGCACTGGCCTCAGGACCTCCCTCAGGCGATT